ACTTTCAATCTCGGCAACTGAGTTTTATGGACTTAGACCATTGGGCATGAGCTGCTCTGTTCATTAGGCCTGACACTCAGCCAAGTCTGTGGAGATCATGTTTTTGCTGATAAGGAGTCAACTCCAGCTTTGAACTGTGTGATTACTGGCCAGCACACTCCTGTGACATCTGCATCGACCCATCACTCATAGAACTGGCTCCCCTTAACTGCTTTCTCCCAGCACACTTATTTATATATATCCGTTGAGTCGGGATGAATTGCTTTCATATAATACTCTGCCTTTCAATGCTGTGGTTCGAAGGCAAAGACGCAGTATTTGAATGAAAGCAACAGCTTATAGCTGTCTTTCCAAACCTGGCGCCTTCCAGATGTTGCTAGAACTGCTGGAGCCACACCTTCACAACGTGGAGCCAACTTACCTGTGAGATCGCTTTACTCCATATATGCCCACTTGACCACTTCAAGCTATATAAATTTTATGAAATAAATAGCTAAGACTCCTATTAGATATGCCTGTTGTCTTTGTCCATGGAGTTTTCTTGGCAGGGATACTGGAGTGGCTTGCCGGTTCCTCCTCCAGGTGGATCACATTTGGTCAAAACTCTCCACTATGACCTGTCCATCTTGGGTGCCCTGCTTGGCATAGCTCATAGCTTCTCTGAGTTATTCAAGCCCCTTCACCACAGCAAGGCAGTGGGAGGAGACTCTTTAGAGTCCATGGACTGCAAGAAGATCAAACATGTCCATTCTGAAGGAAATCAGCCCTGAGTGCTCACTGGAAGGACAGATCCTGAAGCTGAGGCTCCAACACTTTGGCCACCTCATGAGAAGAGAAGACTCCCTGGAAAAGACCCTGATGCTGGGAAAGATGGAGGGCACAAGGAGAAGGGGATGACAGACGATGAGATGGTTGGACAGTGTTCTCGAAGCTACCAGCATGAGTTTGACTAAACTGCGGGAGGCAGTGGAAGACAGAAGTGCCTGGCATGCTCTGGTCCATGGGTCGGACATGGACCACGAAGAGTCGGACATGACTAAATGACTAAACAACAACAACCTATTAGATGTTCTCATCAGGACGTCTCCTTGAGAAGGGTGCTTGTGTGTGTTACTCTTGAGGAGACCTTGATACCTGAGGAATCTTTGCCTGAACTTGGGCACTTCTTCTGATGGGATGAGTCTCCATCTCGCATTTTCTGCCTGGCATCCAAAGTGCCACTTCTCCTTTGAGCTCCCTGCTTGATTGGACAAACTCACCCATGAGGGGGGGCCCACAGCCCCTCTTTGGCCTTGCCCAAGGATCCTGACTCCTCACCCCCAACCAGAGCATGGCACAGGGCTTGTAACCAACCCATTCGGTAGAAGGCTAGTAGCTCCCCATACCCCACTCCTTAGCAGGCTAGTAACTTTTGTGGGTGTATTTACAATGCTGGATTAAAAAACAACAACAACCACTCCCGTGATGAGTGACAAAGCAGTGGTTGCCGGTGCCCAGGGCAAGCACACAGCAGGTGAGGAGGATACCAGCTGAGTCCTCGCCACTGGAGCAAGGTGGGGTGGGATTGCACATTCCAGGGGGGAGCCCGGCTGGCTGACACAACCCTTGATGGGCGGAGAGAAGTACCAGTTCATGGCAACTCAAAAATTGTGCGCCCGGAGGCTTGGCCCACCCCCCCTATGCTATGCCACTGTCCAAGATTCTTTGGAACTCACCGGCTTTTGAGACCATCTTCACAGGAACGGTCACCCAGAGCCATTTGATTTCCCTGTGAGCGGAAGCTTCTCTCCCTCCGCCTCTCTCAAGATCGACTTTCCCCCTAATTAGTACTCAGTGCGGCCTACAGTCTTTGGGAATGTTTTACATTGCGATTAGATTCATTACAGAGAGATTGGCTGGTTAAAATGGGCTGCGTGTCTCCCCAAAGTTGCATTAAAGTAGAAGTCTCAAGAACCTTGCCGGATAATTATATATTATCTTTTTCTTCTCTTTCCACCCCCACCCCACCTCCCCGTCTGCTCATCTCGATGAAACGCTGCCAGTTCATTCTAGTGATGCATGTCACATTAGACATTTTGCTTTCCCCTCCAGCCCTGATTCCCCACCCCCCCACCCCTCATCTCAAACATTTGATTTACTATCCGGTTGTACTGTTAATCCCATGTCATGACACCCCTATTCACTCCTGCTTTTCAGCTGAAAGGAGCTTCCTACAAAGATAATACTAGGTAAAATCCATTGTACGGGGAAGAATATCTTCAATGCGGCTATCATATCGAAAAGAAAACACACTTTTGCTCTCTTCACCCTCTAGACATTCTTGAATACCTCCCTTAATGATGGAGTCAAAGAGAATAGCCACTAAGAATGCACTGTAGGGTTATTTCGCTCCCCGTCTCTCCCCCCCCCGCGATCCTCTCCCCCTCCTCCCCCCCCCGCACGCAATTCTCTCAGAAGTAATCCCGTTCTGTAATTCTATAATTGTTCTTATTTACATTGGGTAAATCTTTTTAAACTAACATATATAAAAACAGAGTGACAGGAGGGTATGAATGAGAAGGAAGCTATCTAACATGCCTTAGCAAATTGTGATATGAATAAATCATACAGATCCCTACTTATCAAACAAGTATTTAGAAGCAAATTTAAATAATGCCCTTTAATGCCACCACTTCCATAAAACCCACAAACTGTCAGTTACACGGGTTTTCCCTCCCCCCCACAAGCAGTTGACTACTTGAGCTATAGATTAAATATTTTTTTAAAAAAAATATTAAATAAATGTGTTGTGTATACCAAGCATATATATATATATATATATATATATATATATATATATATATATGAGAGACTTCTTTAAATGACATTCCACTTAGACACAAAAGATGAGACCGGGAAGCTGTTTAATCAACCAAAATCCCAAAGCTCAAGACCCGATATCCCCTATCGCTGACGTTTGTCAGACGGGGGGTTAGAGCTGAGTGCAATTTAGAACAGACACCCTTTCAGTTTGAAATGAGGGGAAAGGGGGAAAGGAAGTGGAAAACAGGGCCTGCACCCCATCATTCATGTCTTAAGCACATGAACATTTGACCGGGCTTTACGGTAAGCATCATGGTTCAGCTGGCAGGCTTTGAGATCTAGATCTTGAAGGCCTGGCTTCCATTTAGTCCCTCTAATTCCGAAATCAGGCTGGCTGTGCCGATAGCTGTTAAGCAAAACAGACACAAGAAGCAAAGGGGGGGGTCTATGCGTGTAGAAACCTGCCGCACATAATTTATTCAAAAGATGTGGTTCAGGATAGCGAAGAATCTGCATGGAGGACAGGCCAGTTGTCTGTTCTACCTGGGGTTGTGGTACACAGGGAACCAGGCAGAGGGCCTTCTCAGTAGTGGCACCCACCCTGTGGAACGCCCTCCTATCAGATGTCAAATCGATCAACAATTACCTGACAATCAGAAGACATTTTAAGGCAGCCCTGTTCAGGGAAATTTTTAATGTGTGATTTTAGTGTATTTTTTGTTTCTGTGGAAGCCACCCAGTGTGGCTGGGGAAACCCAGCCAGATGGGCGGGGTACAAATAATAAATTATTATTATTATTATTATTACACTGTTCAGAAGGAGGTACATAGCCTGGAGGTACTCCAGCGTGGTGTAGTGGTTAAGAGCGGTGGACTCGTAATCTGGTGAACCGGGTTCGCTTCCCCTCTCCTCCACATGCAGCTGCTGGGTGACCTTGGGCCAGCCACACTTCTCTGAAGTCTCTCAGCCTCACTCACCTCACAGAGTGCTTGTTGTGGGAGAGGAAGGGAAAGGAGATTGTTAGCCGCTTTGAGACGCCTTAGGGTAGCGATAAAGCGGGATATCAAATCCAAACTCCTCCCCCTCCTCCTCCTCCTCCTCTTCTTCTTCTTCTTTCTGATTCAAGGCTCAAATGACATCTGCAAAGCTGATTCCTAGGTGAGTTGGGTTAGGACTGCAGCCACTCTCTCTACAACTGAGTATACACTTGTCATTTAGACATAGAATGGTAGAAAGAGGTCATCTGCTAGCTGCAATGCAGGAATCTCAACCAAAAGATCCATGGCAGATGGCCATCCAACTTCTACTTAAATACCTCCAACGAAGGAGAATTCTCCAGCTCCCAAGGGAGACCGTTCCGCTGTCAAACAGCTCTTACTGTCAGAGAGTCCTTCCTGATGCTGATTCGGAATCTCCTTTCTTGTAACTTGAAGCCATGGGTTCGAATCCTACCTTCCAGAGGTACTGATTGGAAAGGAAGCAGTGCTTTCGCAGACACAAACAGAAAGTGGGATCCTGCATAACCATCCCAATACTTTCATGAGCATTTATGTTGTTGTTGTTGTTATCAGGGATTTTCCCCCAGCACCTCTCAGGTGGGCACCATTGCCATTTAAGAGAAAGAGGGAGGCGTTCTTGGTGAGTTCTGGCACATCATTTTCTAGAATCACAGAATCATAGAATTTTAGAGTTGGAAGGGACCTCAAGGGACATCCAGACCAACCCCCTGCAATGCAGGAATCTCAGCTAAAGCATCAGTGACAGATGTCCATCCAACCTCTGCTTAAAAACCTCCAAGGAAGGAGAGTCCACCAGCTCCAGAGGGAGAACATTCCACTGTCAAACAGCTCTTTACTGTCAGAAAGTTCTTCCTGATGTTGAGTCGGAATCTCCATTCTTGTAACTTGAAGTCATGGGTTCAAGTCCTATCCTCCGGAGCACTGATTATTATTATCTATATCCCATCTTTTCCCCAGACCAGATGTCTTACAGATCAATGAATGCACACTGAAAAGGACATCTGCAGAGGCCCTTTGTGTCTTGGCATCCCCTTGATCATTTGGGTTGCCCTTTGGGGACCATATTAAAGAGCATAAGAAGAACCTACTGGATCAGACCATTGGTCCGTCTAGTCCAGTCCACAACCTCCCAAGGGAGACCATTCCACTGTCCAGCAGCTCTTCCTGTCAGAAAGTTCTTCCTGATGTTTAGTCAGAATCTCCTTTCTTGTAATTTGCAGCCATTGGTTTGAGTCCTACACTTCGAAGCAGGAGAAAACCAGCTTGCTCCATCTTCCACAGCCCTTAATAGATTTGAAGACGGCTATCATATCTCCACTCAGTCTTCTCTTCTCCGGGTTAAACATACCCAACTCCCTCAACCATTTCTCATACGGCTCAGTTTCCAGACCCTTTATCATCTTGGACACTGTCCTCTGCACATGTTCCAGCAAAGGGAGACACCGTTTATTTCTAAGTTTTAAAAAAATAATAACTTGAGGGAGGGTGAAAGAAATGCATTTTAAGTTTAATTTCACTTCTAAGATGAAGATTCAGGATGGTCAAAGTGGGCAGTCAAATCCAGATGGTTCTCCCCATTTTGCACGATGCATTCCATTGGCTAATAAAATTCACAAAAGCAAGCAGATTAAGGCTGAAATCCTAACCCCACTTACTTGGGGGCAGCCTCACCCAATTCATTGGGAATTACTTCTGAGTACACCTGGTTAAGATTGCGGTCTAGTGCAAAAATTTGTTGTTGCTGCTGCTGTTGTTGTTAAAAATTTGTATACTGCTCTTCATTCATAGATCTCAGGGTGGTTAAATTCCCCCCCCCTTTCCATTCCTTGTTTGCCCCCCTGGTCCCCTTCTGGAGAAAAGTGGGACAGAAATTTAATAAATAAATAAAAGTGTGCTGCCTTGGGCAACAAGCACTATAGAAATAAGAAAGGCGGCTGTTTGCAGGAATGTAATATAGCATTTAATGTGAAGCATTTTACGTACCCTTTTACATATAGCATGTGCATGTTTTTTTAAAAAAAATGGCTGCAGAGAACCAACCTTTCACAGCAGGAGTCCTTGCCACTGTGGGGACTGAATGGGCAGACAGAAGGAAGTTCACTTGATTGTCCTGGGAAGATGGAAGATCTGTGGGTGTGTGGCTCCAAGGGTACAAGAAACTGGTGGATTGCCAGCCCTGGACGGGGTTGCACTCTTTCCGAAAGAGCAAGTGCATAGTTTGAGGATGCTCCTGGAACAAGGTCCTGGTGGCTAGAAGCGCATTGTACCAACTTTGGTTGGTAATACAACTCCAGCTGTTCCTGGACTGGGATAGGTTGACCACAGTTGTCTATGCATCGTAACCTCACAAGTTGAAGAGTTGCTCCTAGACTATATGAACAAGGTAAAAAGGTAAAGGTAAAGGACTGCCTGGACAGTTAAGTCCTGTCAAAGGTGACTATGGGGTGAGGTGCTCATCTTGCTTTCAGGCCGAGGGAGCTGGCGTTTGTCCACAGACAGCTTTCCAGGTCATGGGGCCAGCATGATTAAACCGCTTCTGGCGCAATGGGACACCGTGACGGAAACCAGAGCACACGGAAACGCCGTTTACCTTCCCACCGCAGCAGAACCTATTTATCTAATACCACTGGTGTGCTTTCGAACTGCTAGGTTGGCAGGAGTTGGGACAGAGCAATGGGAACTCACCCCACCATGGGGATTTGAACTGCTGACCTTCCAACTGGCAAGCCCAAGAGGCTCAGTGGTCAAGACCACAGCGCCACCCATGAACAATACTGATCTGGCTGGACCAGTGACCTAATCTGGGTCAAGGCAGCTTCTTCTGTGTAAAGATGGCAACACGGTGGTGCTTCTCTCCACTAGGAACATTGGAAGCTACCTTATACAGAGTCAGACCATGGGTACTTTCAGCTCAGTATTACTCTGACCGGCAGCTGCTCTTCAGATTTTCCTATGAGGCATATTCCCAGTCTTTATTTGAGACGCTGGGGGTTGAATCTGAGACCTCAGTGCTCTGTCACTGAGCTACGGCCCTTCTATTCTGAGAAGCAAGCTTTTTGTTCTCTATCCTAATCCGTATAGTTAAAGCAATGGTTTTCCCAGTAGTGATGTATCGAAGCGAGAGCTGGACAATAAAGAAGGCTGGTCACCGAAGAATTGATGCTTTTGAATTCTGGTGCTGGAGGAGACTCTGGAGAGTCCCATGGACTGCAAGAAGATCAAACCTATCCATTCTGAAGGAAATCAGCCCTGAGTGCTCACTGGAAGGACAGATCCTGAAGCTGAGGCGCCAAGACTTTGGCCACCTCATGAGAAGAGAAGACTCCCTGGAAAAGACCCTGATGTTGGGAAAGATGGAGGGCCCAAGGAGAAGGGGGCGACAGAGGATGAGATGGTTGGACAGTGTTCTCGAAGCTACCAGCATGAGTTTGACTAAACTGTGGGAGGCAGTGGAAGACAGAAGTGCCTGGCGTGCTCTGGTCCATGGGGTAACAAAGAGTCGGACACGACTAAACAACTAAACAACAACAATCCTAATTAGCAGATTTGAAAGGTATGCAAGATCTCTGTAAAGAAAGTTCAGCGTGGCTGAAGCTTGCAAGGTTTGGTGGAAAAAATATGTGTGGGAGCGGTAATCATGTTCTAGTCCATGCTATTATTATTTTTGGACTTGCAATCTGAAAATTCATTTACCACCCTCTGCAAATGGCATCACATCATATCCTACTTCCAAACCCAGAGCTAGAATATAGCTAACATGAGCCGCGGCAACTGACAGCCTTATCCTCCACAAATATATCTAACCTCCCTTCAAAACCTTCTAAGCTGGTGGCCACCACATCACATGTTAGCCTTCCATGGGGATAATGTGTCAGCAGGGCAAGGAACAAAAGCAACAGAGCAGGATCATTGACACTCCTGCTGTAGAGATGCTTCACATGAGATTTATTTATATTCTGCTCAGGCACGGAAGAAGGACAAAACATGAAGCACCAGCTTGAAAAAGCTTGCACATGCTTCAAATGTGGGTTTTCCTTTTCCAAATGCATAGGAACGTCAAGTGGGAAAAGATTGGGCTCCTCTAACTTCTGGGTAGTTTAAAGGGAATGTGCATGCCTGGGTAGGCTTGCCAAAACGAAAACTTTTTAGCAGGCGCTAAGAACGATGCAATGAAGGCACTTGCCTAATGTCAATTGGCAAGGAGTTCCAAAGTGTAAATGCTGTCACACCAAAGGCTCAATTATTTGCAAGTGTGGAATGAACACTGAAAGCACTGTGTGTTTGCAGGTGGCAAAACTGAAGGTCTCCTTGCTGAATATTCTTGCGGGGTGGCAGAGGTAGATGTAACTATGCCTCCAACAGTTGTTCTCAAGAAGTTCTCAAGATGTTCTTTCAGCTCACTAAATGCTGAATGAAATTTGATTGGTTCATAATTGGTGGGTGAAAGAAGCTCTGGGCAAGAGGGTTGTTCTGGAAGGAACAGAGTTCAAGCCCATTGCTTCTTTCAACAATATTAAAATAATATTAAACAACAATAAAACTGGAACCACTGCTGCATCCAGAATTTGTGGAAGCGGAACTTGGTGAGGCAACTGAAAAACAAACCATCTCTCTCTTTTTGGAAAATTATTTTTGGCTCAGACGTTATTTGAATTCAGGATTCCTTGGTCCATAACACAATCCCTTAGCACAGCGTTCCAGAGCTGGGTGTCATCCAGATGTTCTGGATCACAACTCCCATCACGTGAGATGTGGATTACCTCTGGAGAACACCAGGCTGGTGAAGATGGTTGTAGAGTTTTCAGGAGGCATCTTGAGGGCCTTCCCTCTGGTAACCAACATAGAAGTAGCCAATGAACGTGGAAAAGTAGGGAGCTGCCTTCTACCAAATCAGACCATTGGTTCATCTAGTGCAGTATTGTCTACACTGACTGCCAGCAGGTTCCAAGGGATTGGGACCAGGAGTCTTTCCATCCCTTACTGGGGATTGAATCTGGGAGCTTCCGCATGCAAAGCAGATGCTCTGCTATGGCTCTTTGCCAGAGAGGAATGTTTACAAGCTGCCAGTTGCAACTTCATCTCTGAAAGCAACTGGATTTGCATCTGTATGGTTTATGGATGGAAAACTGTCTTGAATAATAATAATAATTTTTTTATTTATACCCCGCCCTTCCCGGTTCAAAAACCGGGCTCAGGGCGGCTAACAACACATTTAAAACACTTAATGATAAAAGCAGCATAAAATACAGTATAAAAACATGAATAACAATAAAATTCAAAAATAAAAAATCAATCAGATAATCCCCAGGGCTAGCTGGCTGAATTGGTCCTACTTCGGCCAGCGAGGAGGCCAGGGGAGAATTAGCTGTGGGGTCTCAGAGCGGGTGATCTTCATAAAAGGGGGAGGGGGAGGGAAGAGAAGGGAAATAAAAGATCAGGCTGAATTCAAATTAAAGGCCAGGCGGAATAGCTCTGTCTTACAGGCCTGACGGAAGGAGGTTAAATCCTGAAGGGCCTTGGTCTCATGGGACAGAGCATTCCACCAGGTCGGAGCCATCACTGAGAAGGCCCTGGCCCTGGTGGAGGATAGTCTGACTTCCTTAGGGCCCGGGACCTCTAAACTATGGTTATTCATGGACCTTAAGTTCCTCTGCAGGGCATACCAGGAGAGGCGGTCCCATAGATACGAGGGCCCTAAGCCACAAAGGGCTTTGAAGCCATCCATGAAACCACTTATCATTGGGATAGCATCCTCTTCCAGCTGTGTGATTAAGCCAGCCTTCCCCAGCATGCCCGATGGGACTTGTAGTCCTATGGGGGCAATGGGAATTGTAGTTCAAAATGTCTGGAGGGCACCAGGTTGGAAACAGCCACTCCCCTGCTTGCTGTTTTCCCGCAGGCATCTGATCGGCCACTGCGAGAACAGGATCCCGAATTTCATGGGTCATTGGCCTGATCCAGCGGGTATCTCTTTTGATGTTTACTATAGACCAGTAGTGGAGAATCATTTAATTTGTTGTCTCTCTCCCACCCACCCCCCACGCGCAGTGGTTGCTGATAGGGCATGTTGCGAGAACAACAGATAAATATGGGGCACAGAAGTAAACTTCGCAGCAAGTTGAGCTTCAAGGAAGGCTTGCGTTTGAGCAAACATGTCAGGAAGAAGATTAAACACGAGAAACACGACTTCGCCTTTGCCATCTAAAAGGATCATCACCCTCTTCTCCTTTCAAAGAAGTTTGCGAGATTAGCCACTTTGGGTTTCAGAACATATAATCTTTATACCCAAGCCCCCGCTCTGTTTTTTCCTTTTTAATGAAGTATCATGTCAGAATAATGCACAAAGGCTTATATTAGTAACAT